GGCGGCGATGAAGAGGAGGACGGCGACGAATCGGTTCGCGACACGTTGGCGTCGAAATCGACTCTCGACGCAACGTTCATCAACGCCGGCAGAGATTGCCTGGATGAACCCCCGCAAACCATTGGAAAGTAAATAATCTAAATAGAGAAAAACCCTACGAAAAAGGGGAAAGGAATCGCGCCAAAATAAATGAGGGCAATAAACAGTTTTTTTTTTTTTTGTGGGGACTAAAATAGAAGGGTTTTGATAAAAATGGGGGGGATTTGAGAGAGAGGAGGAGGCGGCTACGTGTTAGGGCTCAAAAGCCTCCACAGCGCCCACCACACTGCTCAACTCCGCTCCTCTGATTTCGGAAGAGAGAGAAGCTTTTTTTTTTTTTTTTTTGGGTTTTCTTTTTTTTTTTTTTTTTGGGTTTTCTTTCTTCTTCTAGAAAAGGAGAATTTTCTTTTCGGTCCAACTCTTTCCTGCTTATTATACTTTCTTACTATTATGGGGTAGTTGCATATTAGTCCCTTACTTCATTTACAATTGCAAATTAGTCTCTCAAATCTCTATATTTGCTCCGTAACCCCCCAAACGTATATGCCTCTTGCAATTTCATCCCTCTGGTTAAGTAATTTAATTTTTGAGAGGGGATATTCGTCAACTTAACTTAATGAGCTAATTTACACTTTTATATCCTCATTTAAAACCCACTAGCTGGTTTTTAGCGGGTTTAAATCCACGGCCTGCTTATCCTAAAAATCCAAACCCAAAGAGTTTTTTTTTTCCCAACAGTCAAGGGCACCTCCATGTCCCTTTTAGAGTGCTTTTAATGGCAATGTTCTCTCTAAATACAATACCAGCGGGGGTGGCTAGATAATTGCATATTTTGGGTCGACGTCTAACCCAACTATGATTAGAGAAAATAAGAAAAAAGCTGACAGAGGGACGAAGTTGTAATAGAGCTACAAATTTGAGGGACTGATGAGCAAATACCGAGATTTTAGGAACCGGTTTGCAATAATTAAAGATTTAAGGGGCTAATATGCAATTAACCCCACTCTTTGTTAGGGTTTTCAAACGAGTTGAAAGTTGGGAGGGTTGGACGAGGGCTGAAGCGAAGAAAGGTTGATTTGTGAGAACCGAGAAGTGGACCGTGGAATTTTTTACACGGTTGAGTCCGAACTTCTCTTGATGAGCAAGGCAGCCTTTTGCCTGGACTGTAAAACGGGTCGAATCGGGTATTCTAAATAGATTTGGGCTCCGATCCATTCATTATAAGCACAACGAATATGGACCGAATCTTTTTCGGATTATATCGTGCTCAGGTTCATTGTGATCCGTATTTTCCAGGTAGTACGTATTTGGATTGGATCGCATTAGGCAAAATTTTGTTAGGCCTACATCATTCTTTTGGAAAAAATGTTGTTCATAGGACTGAATAAATTAGGGATGGATTTAAAGTCGAACTATATTCTACCTCATTCACGCAGCGCGAAAGTGATAACCTCGGAATCTAAAAGGACGTTCTCTGAATCCACAAAGAACAATCTTCGAATCCACGAAAAACTTCGAATCCACGAAGAAAATATCGAAAGTAGAAATTTTATTGATCAAAAGTTATCCTCTAAGGCTTACAAGACTCTGGTTAAATAGAAAAAAAATACAAGACTACTACTATGACTCAAGTTTTACCAAAAATATAAATAACAAAACTCTTACTAAAAAGACTCCTTAAGATCAGGAAAGTCAATCGGTCAAATCTGAGATCAAATAGGATTCGTTTCCTAATCAAAACACTCTTAAATTATTACTAAAAATAGTAAAAACTGATAAAAACACAGATATCTCTCAAACCTTAAGAAATTTGGCGAAACGAACGGGAGCAAACCAAACCCTTCGGGTAGGTTTGGTCAGCTCCATCTCGTCGAGATAGTCGATTTTCATATATAATTCATCCAATTTCGACTTGCGGTTTGAAAATTATAACAAGTTTTTCCTAACAATTTATTTTCCTCGATCAGGCTCGCGATTGGACTTGCGACTATCCCACTTTGACACAAACATGTCCGTCGCGTGTTCTACATCAATCATATTTTAGGACATAGAAATTGGGAAATTATTTAGTCTAATTATTTTTCTTTTGAATAAATATTTAGTCTCATCCAGTCACCAGGTTCGGTTCCGTGGAAACAGGGGGCAAAAGAATTTCCGATGAATTCTTTGTCAATTAATAAGGGGCATAGCGTATCGAATCAAAACTATTCACTCATTGGTTACTTTCTGAAAAGTGAACGACCAGAAGCGCTCCAAAATATGTCCTTATAGCTCATAAAATAAACTGAATGAAAAATAGAGCATTTATTTAGATTTATTCATGGACATAAAAAAAACTATCCAATAACTGAGTTAATGGTACAATGGAAAATTTCCTAGAAAAATTGTGTCAAGGCCCTAAATTTCAAAACTCAGCGTGTCCCAGACCCTCATACTTTTTGCAATGTACTGCAACCTAGAAAATTTAAAAAAAAATGGCTCAGCCCCTCGAGCTCATGATTAGCCCATATTTGACCTAAAAATCTAATTTTGCTCCTCTTCTCCTTCCTCATCCTCTCCTCCCTCATCCATCTCCGGCAATCCTCCATATTTGAACTGGAGGATCGTCGAGGAGGAAGGAGGGTGAGGAAGGACGAGACGAGGAAGAGGGTCGCTAGTCGATCCCATGTAGAGTCGGCGACGGACTAGAGGATCGACAGGGATGGAGGAAGGAGGATGAGGAAGAGGATGAGGAAGGTGAAGGGGTACAATTGGGTTTTTAGGTCAAATATGGGCAAATCATGAGCTGGAGGGACTAGGCCACATTTTTTTTTAATTTTGAGAGCTGCAACACATTACAAAAAGGGCCGAGACACATTGAGTTTTAAAATTCGGGGCCTTGACACAAATAATGGACAAATTTTCAAAAGAGACCCATTTGTGAACTTAATCCCAAAAAACGATCATATTCAAACAAATTTACAAAAATCGACCTGGTTTCAGCCTCAGCGCTGAAACCAGGTCAGTTTTTATAAATTTTTTTCCGAAACTTCACGGGAGTTGAACTCTTGTAAAGTTTAGTAAACCTGCTAAACTTTACGGGAGTTCAACTCCCGTGAAATTTAGCAGATCTACTAAACTTCACGGGAGTTCAACTCTCGTGAAGTTTCGGAAAAAAATTTTCAAAAACCGACCTGGTTTCAGCGTTAAGACTAAAACCAGGTTGGTTTTTGTAAATTTGTTTGAATAGGGTCGTTTTTTGGGAATAAAAATCAAAATGGGCCTCTTTTGAAAATTTGTCCCACAAACAATTGAAATTTCTTAGTACAGAATAAAAAATAAAGAGGCATGAATACGACTACACGATGCAAAAGTCATTCTCTACTTGGCACATTAATTATCCAGTTGATAAAGACACAGCACCAGATAATGCGGCTGTGAGATGCCAGTTGCCAACTGAAGAAAACTGAGGAATAATAATGCTTCCGTTGCAGGAAATTTTAAATACAGAAGTAATTTGGCACGGACGTTAACAACATCATTCGGTAAAAATGTAGAAGAAAAATCATGAATAAAAATGAAGAAAACTGAGATGCGTTGCCAACATGCTAAAAATGTAGAAGAAAAATGCTTCAATTAAAGGAAATTTTGAATACGCAAGTAATTTGGCACAAATGATAAATAACCTCATGCGTTAAACATTTAACATTAAAGAGATGCTTATTCCAACATAAGAAAGATCATGAATAAAGATGCTTCTTTTACAAGGAAAATTATTTGAACATAGAATCTATTGGCATAGATGACAATAACTTACGCGGTTAATATTGGCATCTCTGTACTTTGTTCAGCAGCACAATTAGTCCATTGAAATGTTCCCAACATTCAGGATGATGATGAAGTACAGTTAGTAAAAGAGACGGGATGAAGTCAATATTCCTAACACACAGAAAACAATCAAAGCAGTAATATGTTTGTCATTCTTTTTCCTCTACAGAGCAACTTGAGGTTTCCCTTCCAAGACTTTTTTTTAAAGAGACAATAACAGATAATTTCATCCTCGAAATAGAACAAATACAGGACAACAGCAACCCATTTAACAAACAAGAGAAAGGAAGGAGAGTAGCCTCAAATCAACCCAGACCCTCATAATTCTAACCCATTGCATACTTCTGGGTCCAGCTCCTTGCAGTAGTTTCATACTTGTTCCTATCTGTCTTGTACATGTGAGCAATCTCGGGAACTAACGGGTCATCCGGGTTTGGATCCGTTAACAAAGAACATATCGAGAGAAGCACCTGGAAATTAACAGAAAAGCCCTTCTGGCCAGGTTAACAAAAAGGGACCAAAAATGCTTGAACTTGAGCAGGTTATAACGGATTATCATTGAATACACAGGTTGTTACATGGTGTTGTTGCTTTTCTCATAGAGGAAGCACATTACATCTATTTCATAGCGATGCTAGTTATCAGCTACCCAATGCAACTCTCCTCCACCATTGCATGGGACAGACAGTGAAGGATAAGTTGAAGGGAAAATTCAATAAGATGACAATAAAACCCACAAGGCTTTATGGATCTGAATGTAGGAGAAGTAAGAAAAAAGATGTGCAAAAGATGGGTGTAGTAGAATGTGAATGTTACAATGAACGACTAGATATATCCTAAGTAGATATATTATATGATATAGGGTAAGAAAGGAACACATCCTTAGGAAGTTAGAGGTTGCTCCTAATAAAGGTAAAGTTAAAGAAACGTTTGAGATGATTTGAGCATAAGCAACAAAGGGTGCGAATATAGCAAATTAGGAGAAGGCTTAAGATTACAGTTAATGAAGAAAGGAGCACAAAAGGTAACACCTAAGAGAACTACGTGAAAAAGGATAAGATAATGATTACTTTAGTGAAGAGGAATTCCCTTGACAGAACAGAGAAGACTAGTAACAGAGAAGACTAGTACCGACCCTGTTAGCCGATCCCTAAAATTTGGGACAGAATGCTTTGTTGTTGTTGAGGTATATGTCCATTTGTTGTGTCAATAAATAGATCAACCACACTATAATCTAACATCCACCAACTTTTAGAGTACTGGTAACTAGACAGATGCTATCCACCTAGCCAAAAACAAAACCTCACACGCCTTCTAACAGCTACATAAACCAGCAATGCAAAGTTAAAAAGAAAAAGGTCCTCCCCATAAATAAGGGCCATCCAAGTGATGCTAATACTAATTTGCATTGTAGAGGGTGGACGTAGAGATGGCACTGGTTTTGGCAAAATTTCTGTTAAAATCCTAGAGCTCCTATTCAAATTTAATCCACAAAGCTACTTAATCTGCAAATGCCAGCTCATTTGACAAAGGGAAGCTGGAATCAAGTGTGAAAGAAATATAGTGACCTTGGATATAGTTAATGCTGGGCTCCACTGCTCCTTCAAGATGTCAAGGCAAATGCTTCCGTTGCTGTTAATATTTGGATGGAAGACCTTTGTCCTGAATGCCACCTGCAAGTGCAAAATTATTTAGCAACCGATAACAATTAATTCCAGAATTATTTCTATTATACTACTGAAATATTCGCTCTTCCAAGTCCTATGGAGTCACCCAGGGGCTGACATGCAGCCTCTAATTCTGTGAGAAAAATATCACTTGTTATTAACACGATTAGAACATTTAAAACTTTCTTTTATGTTTCAAGCCGTAACCAGATCTAGAAGGTATCATCACTTAATTATGGTGTATGTCTCTAGCTGCAACCAGATCTAACCAACACTGATTATGCATGTAAATACATTTCCTACGACAAATATGCAAATATCCAAGCGATGCACTTGAGATTAATTTCATGCAACAAATTATACAATCAACTAGTGCTAGTATAGTCCCAGTAATACCTTCGGTGGTTTAAATGGATAATCTGGAGGGAAATGGATGGTAACTAGGAAGACACCTCCTGCATAAGGACTGTCTGGGGGGCCCATTATAGTTGCTTGCCAATGGAACATGTCTTCAGCCACGGGGCCTGCAAAGACTCACAACTAAGCAGTCATTATCAATCAATACCACAATCATCATCTCCATCTTTTTTTTTCTTTTGTGTGCGGGGTGTGTGTGTTTTCAGATAGTAGTTGATCACTTCACTCGATTTGTGCCTTATCACACATAGAGTACAATAAAACTAGACACGAAAAGATTTGACAACTCTTCAAATTTTCAACAGCTACTTTTTAGTTTCCTAGAATGATAATAACAAAAGGAAGGATAGATGGTGCAGGATTTGAACTAGGGTGAATTAAGGATGTTGATTTCCAAAAGTTTATGTTGTTTAAGTCTGGTGCCCCACTGGGTGAACCAAACAAAGAGGAAGCTAGTCACTCATATTAATTATTACCAAATTTTATAGTTATCAATCAAAATAAATAATATTTTTTTGAATAGTTTGGCATATGCTTAATTTCATTTTAGTATTGTTATTTTTAAAAAAAGGTCATAATAAATTTTCTCCAAGGACTTCTATCAACCTATCCTCAACCATTATTACGTGAAGTAGGCCTAATTGAGCAACAAGTATAATTATTGATAATGTGATCAACCTTCAGATTGTTTTCATTGTTCTTTAATATTTACTATATAGCAGCTGGAAATTCAATGAGGAAACAGTTGTCATTTATAGAGCACTGATAGATGTTGGAGAGCCTATCAATGTTGGAGTTCTGGTAGTTTCACTAATAATGTAGTCTTGGGACAAATAATGTATGTTCCGTATCAAGTTTTAGAGTAATACAAATACAGATATGCATAAAGCTATGCATAATACTGTTGGCTAACCACTTATGTTGCTGTATAGAAAATTATAAATACCCAGGTTAGTACTGACAGATTGAACTTAATAGTTCCAACCTAGTAAAAAAATTTCTCAATTGTTTGACAATAGATCAAAATAACTAAAATACCAAAAAAAGCATGGGTTATAGCTCATAATATAGTTTATTTTAGCCTCCATAGAATTATTTCACAATGGGTCAGAACAACTAAAAATGGCAAAAAAATCATGGATAATAGCTCATAAAATCTTTCATTTGCCCTGCGCGTAATTATTTGCCAATAGGCCGAAAAGACTACAAATATCTAAAAACCGTGGGTTACAGCTTAAGGAATCATGCTTTTTTTGCCTCCACGAAGTTATTTGGTGACTAGTAAAAATGACTAAAATGGTCAAAAATCATGGGTTATAACGTACGAAATCATGATATTTGCCCGTTGTGAAATTATTTGACAATGGCCCAAAATCACTAAAATTTGTGGATTATAACTCAATAAAATAAGAAATTTAACCTCCACAAAATAATTTAGCAACAGCTCATGAAATCTTTAATTACAGGCTCCGCAAAATTATTTGCCAGTTCTTAAAATGACTAAAAATTGCCAAAAACACCTAGGTTATATAGCACACAAAATCTTGAATTTTGGCCTCCGTAAAAATATATGTTAACGGGTCAAAACGACTAAAATGACAAAAAAAATTGTGGGATATAGCTCATAAAATCATGAATTTTGACCTCCTTGAAATTAACAATGTGTTAAAATAACTAAGAATGAGCAAAAATCATGCGTTATAGCTCATGAAATCGCAAATTTATTTTTCATAAAATTATTTACGAACTGGTCAAAACAACTAAAAATGGCCAAAAATCGTGGGTTATAACTCACAAAATCGTGAATTTTGGCCTCCACAAAACTATTGCCAACTGGTCCAAATGGCTAAAAGTGGCAAAAAATCACAAGTTATATAGCGCATGAAATTGCGAATTTAGGCATTCACAAAATTATTTGCCAACAGGTCAAAATAACTAAAAATGGTAAAAATTTATGGCTATAGCTCACGGAATAGTGAATTTCGGCATCAGCAAAATTATTTGTAATCAGGTCGAAACAACTAAAAGTGTCCATAAAATAGTAGGTAAGAGCTCTAAATTTCTTGATTTTTAGCCTCCACAGAATTATTTACCAAATGATTGAAACAAGTAAAAATGACCAAAAATCGTAGGTTATTGCTCACGAAATCTTAAATTTTAGTCCGCAAAATTATTTACTAACCAGTTCAAATGACAAAAAATGGCAAAAAAAAATCATGGGTTATATGCTCATGATATTGTGAATTTTGGTCTCCACAAATGTAATGGCCAATAGGTCAAAACCTGGAAAAACATTATGGGTTATCGCTCATGAAATTGCGGACGCATAATGTTGATTAGGAGTTCAATTGCACCCCTAACAATCAACAAATTACATTTAAAGCCTTCTACAATTAAGATTTTCCTATAGTTTTAAATTTGACTTTGAAATCTTAAGTAATTTGCATTTCAAATTAGTAGCCCATTTGCATTCAACCCCCATTGAAATTCGTAGCCCATTTTCATTTAGGTAAATAGATACTTATCAACCCCACCTTTAATAAAAATTTTCTAGATCCACCACTATGGTGTGCCGCTCATTAACAAAGCCCAATAACAATTTCAAACACTAAATAGCAAAGCCTATTAAGCCAGGTAACAATGAGTTCTTAACTCTAATAAAGCAATCCATGAGTTCTTAACTTTCAATAAAGCAATCCATGATTTTAGTCAAGGTCGATGCAATCTGGAGCCCACTATTTGCATACGTCATCTAGTTCAAGCACAACCTAAGGGATTGTTCATAATTGCCCACTGTCATCATTGACATACTTTGGTTATTTATTACTTTGTTAATTTTTACATATAAACAAAAGTCAAAAGAAATGGTCAAATCAGAAGAAAACATCAAGTAACGCATGCGTGTACTTTTTCCTCCCACCGCGCGGATCTGCAGCGAGTGAGAAGTTATACAAGCGCAAAAATCCAAAAAAAAAATTTTTTTTTGAAGGATTTCTCAATTCACACGATAAAAACCTATAATCGATACAATCAAAAGCAGAATTTTCCTAGATCTACAATCAAAATTTACAGAAAATACTGCAAAAATCAAAATAAAAACCGAACATAAACGAAACGGATCGGATCTGATGATACCTGCGCTGCAGGAAGTTGGCGGATCTTTCTGCAGATCCTTCAACTCCTTCAAGATCCGCTTCGACGCCATCGCCCAAAACCTAATCCCCCTCTCAAAAATTCAACAAAAGCAAAAACAAAAAAAATCAAATCGAACTCCAAAATGAAACCAAATCTAGAGATCGAAAGCGAAATAAAAAGCAGAGGTTGAGGATTACCTCGAAATCGAAGGATCCTCTCTGTAACGCACCAAGATTGAGAAAAAAAAGAAAGTGGAGAGATAGAGAGGACGAGTTTAATATCTCTCTTTTTTTTTAATTTACTTTTATGAATAAAATAATGTTTCGGGAAAAGTAATCGTAAAGGGAGCGTGAGAAAAGCGTGAGTGGACGGGGGACGGCAAAATGAACGGTGGAAATCACAGTAGTGGCGAGCCAAGTTGTTAAATCGACGGATGAGATCCGATCTGATCCTTAACATAATATAGTTTTCTGGGGCGAAATTTGCGAAATAAACCTATTTTGTTAAATACTTAGCAAAACAGATCGTTTTGCTAAATATTTTGAATGGTCTGTTTTGTAAAATATCGATTTTGTAAAACAGATCACTCGGAACATACGAGACTCGTATGATTTAGTAAAATATGTCTATTTTGTAAATTTTTCCTTTTCTGACTTACGGGGCGGGAACGATTGGACGTGAGAAATTAGGAATTTCTTCTTTGGACCTGGATTTAAAGCCCACGGTTTATCACCTTCTCAAGAAAAAGTTCGTGTGAAGCCCACTTGTTGATGTGTAGGTGGAAGTGGGTCTACTTCTGGGGAATATTCTCAAATTATTAAGAGGGTTTTCTGACAATCAGTGTTCTAGTCTAGTTTTGATTGCCCTTGTGTTTGTGTAAAATAACGATTGAGTTGGCCCCGTTCATTTCAAGTTAAAATTTGGGGTATAAAATAGGTTTTTTTACAAACCACCCTATAGGGACCAAATGTAACCTAGTTTAGGATAAAAATCGGGTCAGAATTGATCATGATCTAGTTTTAAGTATTTTGCTTTAAAAGTATCCAGTTATTCCAATCATATCCCTCTATTCCAGTTCCAACCATTAAGATGAAGCCACATAGAATTTGCACTATCACAGTACTAGTTTTAACAATATTGGTTTTGAGATCAGTCCCTCAAGTCATTGGACTCTCTATTAAGAGAAGTAGTTTCCAAATTTGTCCCTCAAAACACTAAAATTGCTATTAGACCCCTAAATTCTTAGAAATAGTCAATTACAATCGATACGCAAGGTTTTAAAGGGTCCAATAGAAACTTCAATAGTTTAATTAAGGAACTAATTTCAAAATATTAAAGATTTAAAAGGCTAGTATCGAAAATCCTGATAGTTAATGCACGTATACCTTTGGAATTGAATTCTAGTGAATTCTCTGGTGCTAACTCTATACTGGGGCAAAAAAACTATATATGTATATATGAATTTCGCAGAATTACTGGTACACATGCTAGTATTAGTTCCATGTTTAGAAGTGTTTAGCTTTCAAATTAAGGCTGTAGCTTTTAGATTACATGTTTTATTGGATAAATAAGTAGCTGCAATATACCAACTTATTTAGTGAGTTAGAGAGAAAGTAGATCAAGTTATTATCGTTAACGTTCAACTTGTATCCCCATTAAAAAGTATCAGTTCCATGATGACGAGCCAAATTGCTCATCCTATATACAACGGCAAGCTTTGTTGGGAGTAATACCTTCACAATCAACTTCACTCTAATATTAATTGTTGGGAATATTAGTCGACTCTAATAAGATTTGCTACTAAATTACTTTAGTATGTTAATCAATTAATTTAAATATATATACTCATAAATTAGCGTAGGGCCCAGAGAGAAACAATTCCACAATGCAAAGCGAGGGAACATAGGAATCCTAGAATAATTACTATCTAAAAGATTCTGAATGTCATCCGGATGATCGCGAAGAATACGAGGTCATCTTTCTTTTGTTACCATGTGAATTGGATGAGTTTCCTTTAGATGCATAAGAGGTCTTTGGTCAACATTATTACGAGATCACTCTCCTAAACCTTATTTGATGGGAATTTATATAAGAAAAATGCCTCACGTACGGCCCCGAAAATGGGACAAATAGAGGACGACAGGTGAGGTGTCCCCTTCTGATTGCATAACAAACTGGTCATGACTAGCTTATTACGTAATATAAGGGGAGACACCTCAAATGTCCCTCCTATCTGTCACATTTTCGGGTCCCGTAGAAGCACCCTTCATATAATTAACCTAATTAATATTAAACAAGTATCCAAAGAAAGTTTCAAGGAACTTGACTGCATCAACGCTCTCATTGTCATATAATTAATACCCGGCATTATGTTTTTATTTTATTATTATTAATGGATCGACGACCTTATAAAATACTCTCGCTTGCCAGCTAACAAGTCAGAAGAGTCAAAGCACAATTTTTTCCCTTTTACACGCTACTTTCCATATTTTAGATTTGCATGATTCATGAATGAATGTACATGACCCATCTTCTATATAAACACTCAAGAGCCCTGGCTTTCTCTCATTCCCCTCTCTGATCTCTCATATATACACAGAAATATATACATACCATTATACCAAAACATTTCGATCGTTCACAGGATGAGCTTTATGCGATCAGATGAGTTCTTGGCGATGATTGTGCCGATCGTAATTTATTGGGTTTATTCAGGATTCTATGAGATTTTGGGAAATTTGGATAAGTATAGACTGCATTCAAGAAGAGATGAAGAGACCAAGAACTTGGTTTCGAAGCGTGAGGTTGTCAAAGGAGTGCTCCTCCAACAAGCTATCCAGGCTACGATAGCTCTAATTTTATTTAAGGTACGTTAACAAATACATTAATTTTAGAAATAATTAGAACCTTAGCTAGCTAGCCCAATTTATTATAATGACAATTGGAAATTCTTTTTACGCAAGCATACGCATGTACGTTGATCTATCCGGAAAAACCAATATGTTACAAATATGTATAATATTCAAGCACAAAAGGTATAATAACATATATAATATATATATCCTAAGATATTTTGGTATACAAGTGATGCTACAAATACAGATAATCACACAAAAAAGATATATATATATATATAACAATCTAGTATATCCTAAAAATTCGTCCCTGACAATATTTCCATCTCTTAATTATTCAGGCAACCGCAGACGACAGTGTTCCTCCCCACAACCCAAGCTCAAGCGCAACTACTTTCACAGTGAACATCGCGGCGCAGTTTTTCGTCGCGATGCTGGTCTTCGATACCTGGCAGTACTTCATCCACCGATACATGCACCTCAACAAGTACTTGTACCGGAGGTTCCACTCGTGGCACCATCGCCTCTCCGCTCCCTACGCTTACGGCGCTCAGTACAACCACCCGGTCGACGGGATCCTCACCGAAACCCTGGCCGGGGCCCTGGCCTTCTTCGTCTCGGGCATGTCGGCGAGAACTTCGGTATTTTTCTTCTCCTTCGCGACTGTCAAAGGGATCGACGACCACTGTGGGATCCTGCTGCCCTGGAATCCTTTCCACTTGGTGTTTGGTAACAACACCGCTTACCACGAAATCCATCATCAGTTGAAGGGGAGCAGGTGCAATTTTGCTCAGCCTTTTTTCGTGATGTGGGATAAGATTTTAGGGACTTATGCTGGGTATGAGATTGAGAGAAGAGAGGGTGGTGGGTTTGAAGCGAAGATTGCAAAAGAGCTGTAATTATGATCGTCGACTTTGTAGTATATATATGCTTCCTCTCTGGAGTTTCTAAGAGAAATTAATTAACGTGTACCATATATATAGTAGTAGATCAATAAGCGTAAGTACGTCACGTGAGGTGAGATTTATTAAATGCCTCGTACTTCTAGTTAGTTGTTATTTTACTTTTTTTGTTACACCGATGAGAATGTGAAATTTGCAGACAACACATCATTTAATGATGTGGATGGATCAACGCAGAAGAAAAAACATATACATTATATATAAGAGAAACTCCCTCTTTCTTTAGTGCGTGTAAGGAAAGATAAATATCTCATACTTTTGAATCGGTACCGTTTGGCAAAGGGTTTGGTGAGGGGTTAAGGAGACTTAACCCCCTTCTTAACCCGCCAATTAAACAAAAAAAAATCTATACAAGAGTTCAAGTGATCAGTTAACCCTCCATAATTAATTTGCCAAAAATAAAAAATATAGAAGGGTTAAGCTAACCCCTCTAGAGGGATTAAAATGAGTTAACCCCTCAAAATAAAGGGTTTACTAATACTTCTATTTAGAAGGATTAAGAGTTAAATGTAGGCTGTCTAAAAATCACAACAGATAGCCAATCCCCATCAAACACCGATGATGGAAGTTACAATCTGACGACTTCCAAAATGTTACAATTTGAAGATTTTTACGTAGAACGATGAATGTTACAATCTGACGACCTTCGTAACAACTGATGAAAGCTCTAATCAACAGCATTCACAATCAACATCAGGAGTTTACAATCTGACGAATCTCATATTTTCAAGGAGCCAAGACGAAGATTACTGAACAATGGTCTTTGCAACGCTCTACAGAAGAAGCTATAAGTCATTAGCTCCTTCTAAAACGCGGAATTCACCCTCGCGTTTCAGTTCTTGAAACGCAAACGACCCCGGCTTTTTCAACCCTCAGCAAACAAAACGCGGGCCGCCCTCGCGTTTTTCAACATTCAGCGGGTGCCCAACTCCGCATCTCCAGTCTAAAACGCGGAGTTAGGGTCCTGAACGCCAACTAGGACGTTTGACTCATTCAAACACGAGTCGAATGGTTTCAGAACCATTTCCCCCACGTTTTGAGGGATTCTCGCCCACGTTGGAGCGGATTTAGGGGGTGGTTATACCCATTAATCTCCAATAAATAGGAGAAAACTCAACTGAGTTCGGGCTCGTTTTTTGGCTCTCGGATCGATCCTCTTTTCAGCAGCAAAGAAGAGATCAAAGGCTGGCTTTTGAGGAGATCAGCTGGAGAGAAATACTTGGCAACAAGGAGATCTTGAGGCATCCTGGAGCAACATCAAATTCACTTGGCTATTAACCGATTTTCGGTTCAAATCAACTCTTTTTCAAGAGTTTAAACTCGCTCTGAGTTATCAACTCGTTCAGAATTTCAAACTTGCCACGCAAGTTCATCACAACGTCAAATCTTGAGGAGAAGATATTGTTCCAGTGAATCAAGACGTTCGGATCGTCAACGGAGAGCAAATTCGATGCGAGCATTCGAGGGAGGCACTTCATCGCCACCGTAAAGAACCCAAAACTAAACAAAGGAGAGAATACAGATCAATTCTCCTCTCTTTTGTAATCAGGAAATTCAATTGTAATTAAGATCAGGAGAATACAAATCAAATTTCTTTCATTTTATTTACTATAAAATTTCCACCAAACATTAACTCTTCTAATTATAAAGAAAATAGTCAAAATCCTTGTTATTCCCAAACACTAAAAATGATCACAATGGCTAAAATAAAACTTATATAATGAGTTAATAATTTAGTCTTTCAGATTATCAAGTTGGTTAACTATGTTAATTCTTTTTTTTTAATCCATCTTCCTTAACCATTTAACAAACGGGGCCGCAAGGAATGAGAATTGGTAAAACCTTTTTTTACCAGCAAGTATTAAAATTGTTGCATAGGGATTTTTTATCTTCAAAAATCTTGAATCCATACTTACCTAAGTGCTTATACGTACCGAGATATGCCAGAAAAATAACAAATAACATTTAACTGACAGAATTGACTAATGCAAGGAGCGGATATTAATTTGGAGGAATTCGATCGATAGATCTAAAACCTTGGTACAACAAAAGAAAGCCCTAGACTAAGTCATGCAATCAATCAATACGTAGCGAGTAAACATCAACATCATTGATCCATTTGGAATGCGCTACGACTTTCGTCACCATGATCCAATATTGTCACTGGATGCTGGTGTACTTTAAATATTGCATTATTTTTGACCCACGTTGAACAAAACATCAAATTAGGTACCGCATATTAATAGTGTAAACATGGAAGGTAGTTGGTCTGCGAATTCCGCAAGCATTTATGTGATCCATGTGTGAACCGATCACATCTTCAACTCTAGTCAACGCGTCTCGATCGTGTTAACCTGTCTATCATGTAAATTGTAATTTGTAGCTTGGTTGAATTGTAATTTTATGTTGCAGCTGCAACTTACGTACAAAGAAGAGGCAACGGGTCCTATGGACCATTAATGACGTTGCTAATAGAACATAGTCAACGACTTAAAAGTCGCATAAGTCTATTGAGAAAGCTATGCAAGATCGAGCGAACACCGACGACGTCGTTGGCATATCTTGTTGACTTTATGAGTATTGCTTTACGAATAAAATAACTTCAAGTGGTAACTCAAGACAACAGATAAGGGTTGACTCAGTCGACGGCTAGCTAATTTTACGCATCGCCTGTACGTAGCTCATCTAAGTCAATTAACCGGCGATACTTAATTTCATACTCGCGTGGCCGGCATGGTTAACTCTCGTTCCTCACCTCAGCTTCGGAGTTTTGGTAATTAAGGTCGGAAGAGACCTTCCGCTAATTCTTGTATGGATACGTACGTGGAGTAACGTTATCGGCATATCTTGGGTGGCCAAAGAATGTTGCAGCTAGCGCATCGGCAGCTTAATACTTGTCAGGAATGGGGATGACTAATTCTCGTATCTGCAGACTATAATGGAGTCCAGAGGACGGCAAGCAAATTAATAATGTCAACTGCCACCGCGGAACTAACAGTTAGCCCATCAATTCTCAGTTATATATTGCTGTAGCTGCTGCGGAAAAATCTAGCTACGACCAAATCTAACTAAACAACAGCATAATTGCGTGCCAGGCAAGTACACACTAGAGCGGACCCAGCACCCGCAAGCTGAAGAAATTCATGCTGGTCGGTTCTCTGTTTGTGTGACCATAAATAAATCTTGTTAATGACTGGTCCGCTAGAATATGAAAAACGACTGTTTTTATCGCACCTGCCCTCATTTCCCTCTTGGCTGATGCGAGGCATTAAAGACCGAGCGAAGGGAGTTCGTGTTTCGTGCAGGGCCGTCTAGTTCGCTGGAGTGTGAGTGCGGTACAAGTGTCAGATGCATGCAACTACTGTTCGTCGTAACTACTCATACATGCAATTGTTCTTGCAGTTGGTTCTGGTTTAGAAAAATTTAATATATTAAGTGTTGTGCAAAATACCCCAATTGTTGGTGAAAAATCGTATCGAGGAACCAAATCAATTGCCGATCAACGAGGACCAAAAGCAACCAAAATCAATGCACAAACAAAACACCAATTTTAACGTGGTTCGGTAATTGCCTACGTCCACGGGGCAAAAAGGGGATGGGGTTTACACTAATAGAGAAGAATAGTACAACTTGAGATTACAAATCACTCGAAAGAACAAACTAATCTCACAAACAAAGCTCTTAATCTCTCCAAATAAACCCTAAACAAATAGCTCAGAAAATACATCTTTTCTGTGCTCCAAATATCCTAAACTCTTGCTTTAAGAAACCCTAGAACGTATATTGGTATTTATACAAACACCAAAACCAAATAAGAACAGGAAACCAAAAAAGGCCCATACCCGCTACGCCGTCGACCGCCAAAAGCTCACGGTCGACCGCGATCAAACGACAGAGAGTCAAAAACCATTACAGGGTATCGCGGTCGACCGTGGTGGTCGACCGCGCTAAGTCCTGAACCAAATCTCAAGTTTGTGCACGTATGCGGTCGACCGACCTTGTGCCGCAGTCGACCGCCAAACTCCAAAACTTGTTCTTCTTCGAAATTCTTCGCGGACCGACCTTGTGCCGCAGTCGACCGCCAAACTCCAAAACTTGTTCTTCTTCGAAATTCTTCGCGGTTTCTTCATTAAGCTGCAGTTGTAGGTGTTTGTTCGGGGTATCACAAGCAATATGCTTACATAAAAATTAAATTTAAAATTTAAAAAAAAACTCTAAAAAGGTCGGCAGGTGGTTGCAAATAATGCACATGTTTTTGTCCATTGGCTCGATGACATGAGAATGTAGCTCCGTGCGGGTCTTACTATATTAATGAGAACTCAAGATAATAAAGTCAGTTGATTGGGCTTCGGTCATAATCAAGGTATGTAGGTGTGATGTAGAATAAAAATTGATCGCCTAATAAGTTCTCTCATGCATGAACCACAAAAATACCAGTCTTATTCACATCTCAGACCACCGGCCAAGTTGTGAAAGAAGGCATCCCCCCCCCCCCCCCCCCCCCCCAAAAAAAAAAAAAAAAAAGAAAAAGAAAAAGAAAAAGGAAAAGGGATTTTTGCTGGCCTTTCTCCTCCTGATTGAGGAAACAGAGGAAAGACAAAAAATGCAAACATTGATTGGGCGAGGCAACCAGAATGCCTTCAATTTACAGCCCTTTGCTCTCTCTGCAATCTCAAATTACATGGGTTATAATATAAATCTTAAACGCCATGGATGAATCAAATTAATTGGCGAGGCAGCCCTGGACAACAGGGTTCTCTGATCAGTCTTTGTTTTTGCTTTTAAATTTAATTATGAGTTAATTATCTCTAAGACCTGGTAAATGTTAGCAGTAGTTTTGGGAAGATAAAAGGAGCTCCCAAGAGCACAGATTTGTGTGAAGTGCCTCCTCATTTTCTAGTTTATCTTAAGGAATGTGTTCGGCATTCTTCAGTTTCTCCAGCTACAGTTTCTCCTGCAAACCACTACAACAGTATTTTAGACCGCGATCGATGTGGAGGAAATGAATGCTTTTCCGTACTAAAGCCTTTGGCTTTAACAATGGTAACTCAGCTTTCATATTAAAAAGAAGGGTGGGAATGCATTGATAAATTCGGAGAAGAATTTTCACCAAACAAGAGGTGACATTGCCACTTCCATTAATTATGCAATTATCAACCATTGACTGAAATAGATGGCCAGATTAAGCACTCAGAAAAGAGAGCTTTTGCAGGTTGCTATTATCTGCAAAATAGAAATTAAATAGATACACCTGAATGACGTCTCCTCACTTAAGTGTAAGCAAAGTTAAACCAAATAGCATTCATTTTTTTGCATCAGCTGACTCAGCGGAGGAGGTGGCAGCTGCATCCCTGGCACATTGAGATACATATGGCTTAAGCTGCATTAAGATAACTCTAAAAGTTAGGAGCGAGTAGAATGCACCAGCTTTATTTACACGGTCAAAAACAATTATGGGTAGTAAACTATAAATAATTGAAATAATAACCCAAATTACTTCTTCATTCTTTTAAAATCATTTTCACAAATTATTTCTAGCCTACCGATTAACATTATAGAAGATATATAAAGCCAGCATTAGGGATGTCAATTTTCGCCCATACCCATTTACCCACCTGACCCGCCTATCATTTGGCCCGCCCAATGCCCACCCATTTAATTAAATGGGTCTAATTGGGCGGGTTCATTTTACATTATTCTAAATGGGCACTAAATGGGCAGTGTTTATTCGCCCGTTTACCCGCCCACCGTATTCCCAAAACCAAAACAAACGATCCCAAATTCCCAATCTCCTCTTTCTCCTCCGCCTCAATCCCAATCTCCTCCGCCTCCTCCTCCGCCGCCGCCTCAACCGCCTCTCGAACCCGAGCCTCCGACCCCAATCCCTCCTCCTCCGCCTCCTCCTCCGCCACATCAATCGCCTCTCGAACCCAGAGCCTCCGATGCCGCCTCAAGTCGCCGCTGAAGTCGCCGCCTCCGCCACCTCAAGTCGCCGCCACCTCAAGTCGCCGCCACTTCCTGCGATAGCAATCTTTCTCTCAGGTGAATCCCAATCTCAAATCTTTCTATAACATTCAGTCAAATCTTTCTCAAATCTCTTAGGTGAAAACGACAAGTCTTTTTTGTTTATTTGGGATTTTTGTTTTCTTCAGGAGACTCCAAAGCTGAAGCTGCACTCTTACTGGAGGAGCTCGTGCTCTCAGCGAGTGAGGATTGTGCTCAATCTCAAAGGTCAGATTTTGATGCTTTAATTCTTTGTAATTTCTATTTTGCTGAAATGGATCCTGGAGGTTTTATTGAATTTGTGTTTGTATTTTGAAGGGCTGGGGTATTCTATTTTGCTGAAATGGATCCTGGAGGTTTTATTGAATTTGTGTTTGTATTTTGAAGGGCTGGGGTATGAGTACAAAGCAGTGAACCTTTTGAAGGGAGAGCAGTTCACTCCAGGTGAGAAACATTTGAGTTTTATTATGAATTTTGGACTAGCTGTTAAATTTCCCAAATTTTTTGGGTGATAATTTATTGATAATTGTCATGTTCTGGGAATTTCTATGATCGGACAATGAAATTTGAGAAAAAAAATATTGGTTGTTGACTCTTATGGTTGGTTTGTCATATGCTCAAAGCAAAAGTGTTCTTCTTGGATTCATGCTTTTAGTATTAGGAAGATCTTCAGTATTTTAGATGTCAAATAGTTAATTAAAATTTTAAAAAGTAGGAAGACAATCAGTAGCATTTTGACTTTTGTTTAGCAATTCCTGAAGTTTACAGTTGATTTGAATGTAACCATATCTATTAAAATAACGAATGCTGAAGGGTCATGCAGCTGCAGATATATTTGAAAAAGGAATATGTGATTTGGAGCCTGTTCTTTTCATGACTCCTCTCCTCTTAGTTGAATATTTATTATATTTCAATGTATCTATCCGTATAATACACACGCACACATGCATGATATGGTATCTTAACCTGTGAAGTAATTGCTAAACTTCTTACTTCTTAAACTCCATGCTCGAGTAAAGTAAAGTGGTTATAGGTTCTAAAGAATCAATTGATCATGGACAAATCCTGCTATGATGTATTTCATTCTAGTTTTGACTATACAGGGGATTAAATGATATACTTCATTTGAAAAGTTCCATCGAGTTTGCTACTTTGTGGAAAAAATTGTTTTGAGACCTGTTAAAATACTTTCTGCATGCAAAGTTTTGAACTTCTGAAAATTCGTTTTTGCTCCTTTATTTAGGCAGCAAGTGTTGTCACTTCTTAATACATATATAGATCTATTTTCATGTTGAGTCAATTTATATTCCACTTTATTCTGTGTTTTCTACCAAAATTGATGTGCTATTAAATTATTTTTTTCAGCGATCATGTCTTTAAATGATCAATTTAGCATCCATGATGATTGTAGTGATGATGAGAGTACTTCTAAACGTAAAAGAAGACATTTGTGAAATAACTCACGACAGGTAAATTTTCCTTAGAGGAGGAACTGTCCTAACAACATACATATCAAGTGCCAACAAAACATGACTGACATTTGTGGCAATTGATGACTAATAATCTAGCTTAGTAACAATTAATGAGTCGATTTGCCAAGGACAACGGATTGTTGTGAGTTACATTTCATTAGGAAATTTGTTTCTAGTGTTCAATGTTTATTTCTTTATACTTGAAAAGTTTTAGACCTTTTCCCCTTTCTAGTGCTCTAGATGCCATTACTTCCTACTCAAATGATTGTAATTATTATCCCTTCTTTAGTTTTCTGTGGAGTAATTTCGCGATAACAGTTTGTTAGGTCTTTTCTTTTTGAGGAGTTCTCCTTCTGTTTTGATTCTTCTCCCTAAAATTCTCTCTGAATTTTCTTTGGGATCTTGAAGAATGGGACTTTGAGGATATTTATTAAATGGGTTTTAAGTAATTATACAAATATACAATTTATCGCTCCCCAAAATCATTTTCATGAGGGTTCTCTCTTGCAAATGCCCAAATGTTAGTGAAAGCTTGGTAGATGATGGACATACATATTCAATAGCTGTTATGTTCAATGCACACAAGTGTACAGTTTTAAGTTGCACAATTGCTTTTATATGCTGTTTGAATTGTAGCAGTTATAGTTTGCTAAAAGCCTGTCAAGGAAACTCTAATTTGCTAAACTAGGCTATTTGTGTGAGGCTTATCTTATCGGCACAAAGCATATGTTTTTCCCCTTTTTTTCTTTTGGAGCATTCTACTGCAGGATGGGAATGGAGATATGGTTCTTTATTTACTTCCTATATTTGTCAATAACCTGTAGTGCTTCCAGAATAAGGGGTCAGTTGGGAGAGCAGACAACTTGTCTTTCACCAATTTATTTTAAGATGAGGAGGGAGAATTTTTTAAAAAAAGATCTTTTTAAAAAATAATCAGCAAAATCGACCACCAATCTATGTTCATCTACATAGATTTCCGAAAGAGCTTGTTAAGATTAGAGAATTCGAACCCGTGTAAGTTCATTTCTTGTTCTTCTTAAAGTTAAATGGCTTGATGGCTAATTTCTGCTGCATTATGTTCCTCTTTAGAAGATATTTACGATTATACATTTGTTAGTAAATGCTCTGAAGAAATCTATATAGATGAACTTGAGTCATAAAAGACAGCATACGGCGTACATGTCTACTTCTGAAGAAAAATTCATTTATTTAAAGATTTTCCAGCAGAAATTAAACTAGAGGGATAGTAGGTTTAAAACAGTAAAACTACAGGGGTCTTTCAGCCATTAACCCCTATAGTACATATGCTTGAGCAATGTTATCTTACAGTTAACAGTTTACATATACTCCTTCCTCTAAAATCTTATTATCAGAGTCAAACTCATCACTCCTTCCTCTAAAATCTTACAGTTAACAGTTTACATATACTCCTTCCTCTAAAATCTTATTATCAGAGTCAAACTCATCACTCCTTTCCTCTCTTTCTTATAACATCAATTAGCTTATCGGTATGCAAAGAGAGGAGCATACCTAGTGCTTGCAGCAAGGAGAGAGGCTGAGCTCAAGGCTGTGGCCAAGGCTGCAAAAAACAATGGAGCTCCTGATGTGCTCGTGATCCCCGTGATCCCCTGTAGTTTTACTGTTTACGCGTAATCATTGAAAGGTTAATATACTTGAGAGTCGAAGATTTTCTGAGTAGCCAGTGACATGATTATCATTTTGATTCTGTTATTCTGAAACCAACAGACATCTTTCATTTAATTTTCATTTTGTTGCCTTGGTCCATTATAACTCATTTGTGCCATGCTGATGACCTCTTGCTATTTTGTAAAGGAGATGTTGGTTCTGTGATGATCCTGTTCTTTTCTTTCTTCTGTCATGATCATGTTCATGCCTGAACATTTGAAAGATGAGAAATAAGTGGACTATGATTGTGCTACTATTTTGTTTATAGACGAACTTACTACTCTTCTAGTTTATCAAGTAATTAAGTAGATTGTCCTTACTAATCGTGATCGTGTTGCTGATAGTTATGATGGCATTTATATCAAGTTATTGATCTTATACAGATCCTTGCATACATTGTGTTTTCTATCTTAATTCATTTAAATATTCTCGCAATTTTGTTGTTATTGATCTTTTGGTTTTTGGTTTGGAAATTTGAGGTTAATTTTGCAAATGTGTGTGGTCTGTACTTTTATCCAGGCTTGTAAATGGTTCAATCATGAACTTGTTTGCCTTTGTTTATCTTTGTTTATGTTCCTATATTTGTTAGTATTTTATCAAAAGCCCCAACAAGTTTGCAAAAGCTCCCAAAACGTTTGCAAAAAGCCCACAATAGTTTACAAAAACCCCCCTAAAAGTTTACAAAAAACACCCCAAAAGTATTATACATATATAGTTATTATAGTTAAATGGGCAAATGGGCTACCCGTTTATTAAATGGGCGGGCAAAAACCCGCCCATTTAAATAATGTTAAATGGGCCATAAATGGGTAAATGGGCAAAACATGCCCGCCCATTTATGGCCCGCCCATTTAAAACCCATACCCATCCATTTAACATCCCTAGCCAGCATAAAACTGATTTATAAATGAAATGTCAAGAAGAAATTAGCGGCAGGCTTGATATACTAATAACTTTATCTCGCAAATATAGACCAGATTTCATCCTTTGTATTGGAATCAATTTTCTAAGGAGGTATATGGCCATCAAGCATCTGCCTTTACCAACTCCTTCGTGTGATTACAAGCGGATAGTCTTTATAAAAATATGAATGTGACATCCTTTACATGGTGAATACAGCAGGAGAGCTTTCATGGCTTTTACCAGAAGTAGTTTTCGAAGGGTTTAAAATGTATGTGGCAATCATACTGTTGCAAAAGCATCTCATTATGCTACCTGCCACCACAGTTTCATTATAAATGTCTCCATCTCATTAGTTCGCCAGCTGTTAGCTATGAATAACAAATCCACATGTAACCCAGATTAATCGAACTGATTCATCTGACAATTACTCTCCCTGACATGATATACGGCTACAGCTAGGCATTTATTTGGCAACATCAGATGATCATTCTAGATTTTCTAATAATCAGAAGTAGCAGTTAACAAGTTAAAAGGTCTGTATACAAGCTATTATAATTACGCTCAAAGAACTCAAATTAGATTAAGCTTTAAGAGAAACTCGGTTAACACCAAGCTCTGAATCAACTGAGTTGACAACTCAAAGGAACGAGCTTTATCCATGATCAAGCCTCTAATGCATCTTTTATCGCCAGCTTGCTCAGATTTCTGCTGCAGAAGATGTACTTTACTTCGAAGATTACAATTAAATAATAGTAATTTCAGACCCACAAAAGGTTACCTTAGTTGAGCCAGTAAACATCTCTCGTCCCTTGAGATATATTAGATGCCTTCACTATTTCTGTGCCTAGGTGCAGTGTATACACGCAACGAACCAATAATTTACTCCTTCAACCTGATTGCTCAACCATTGAATCATCCGTAAACCAGGTGCTCTGCCGTTTTGGCTTATGAGGAGCATATCTTGATATTAGAGCAGAAGAGTTCAAATGGAAGTTCCAATTACCATGTGCGTTTATAGCAGGCAACTATGTGAGGTTGCGTTATAATCAGTGGGTTGAAGTCCACAAAAGCAGTTAGCTACAAAAGGGAGCAATTGGTTCTAGAGATGTATTATGTTCTCATCTAATTTCATTCATTCCTATGAATATGATGCTTTCTTCATATCTCAAAGAGCTTCAAACATTTCATTTTTCATTTATCTTACCTTTTTCAACGGAAAGTGAATAATCAACACTACATACAATGTCTTGTGGGTACATCTCCTCTCGCTAAAATAAAGGACATCTTGTAACATGACTTGTAGCTTCTGCACATCAAAATCTTCTGGGTCATAATTTAAACTATAGGTCGATTACCGAACTCCACCATCAACATAAGCCACTGCATCTCTAATCTATGTGACTATGTCCTATTAACCCTTTCCTCTCCCTTCAAACTCACAACTAGTAACCCTTACAAAAGCACACATTTTCATTGACCAGCACGAACTGTCCTAGAAAAGAACGCTTACTACTTCATTCACCTAACGAAATGAGCAACTTCGTAGATTCATAATAAAACAAAAGGGTTTCTAAACTTGCACAATGAATAAAGATGTGGACAAATTTTCAAAACGGACCCATTTGTGAACTTAACCCCAAAAAACGACCTCATTCAAACAAAATTGCAAAAACCGACCTGGTTTCAACCTCAGCGTTGAAACCAATTCGGTTTTTGAAAAAAAAAATTCCAAAACTTCAAGGGAGTTGAATTCCCGTGAAGTTTAGCAGATCTACTATACTTCACGGCCCGTGAAGTTTCAGATTTTTTTTTTTCAAAAACCGACATGGTTTCAGCGCTGAGGCTGAAACCAGGTCGGTTTTTGCAATTTTTTTGAACGAGGACGTTTTTGGGAATAAAAGTCTAAATGGGCCGGTTTTGAAAATTTGTCCATAAAGATGCAAAACTTCATATCAAAATCATAAAAAATGCAGGAAAAAAATGCAGGCTCTCCAAGTTAATTTCCTTCTCTAATAAATGCTAAAAGTATTTAAAAAATCACCTTAAAATCAGTGAGATCTGGCACGATATATCGAGGCAGTTTCTCATCCTGCAGAACATATCCGCCTACATTCCAAGAATCAATTCACTTGTAATATATTCACTAGAAAGAGAAAAATATGAAAGGATTGAAGAGAAAAAAAAGGAGAGGTTTCGACCTTTTCGAGTGTGGAAACCAGTGGACTTGCAGTTCTTCCCTTTGTAGTAATCTCGAGGAGCTCTCTTCGAAGAGAGAATGCTCAGCGACGAGGTTCTCTTCCTCCTCATCGCGCGCCCTAACCCTAGAATCAAACCCAACGGCATTTTTAACCGACGAAAACGAAACGAAACCCTAGAAACCGCCCTCTAGGGGTTTAAAGCGAGAGAGAAGGGGGGAACGAGGAGCGCGTGATATCCACGTGTTGAATAGAGGATACATGGATCGTTAGCGGGTAAAATCGTAGATATTGCGGTTAAGGTCCGCTTTGGACCCGAACCCATAGAAAATTAAGATGAACCGTGGGGATCTGATTCTGATTTGTGATGTGATTAGTCATTTTATAATTAAATATGAACTTCTTTTTCTCATGTCTGTAGGCTATATGGATGGAGGAGCTGGTATTGATGGATGCTAAATTTTTTTCATAATTAACATGGTGCTGCTATAGTGCTATGGCATTTAACAAAATTGAACTTTTTTTTTGCAAAAAATTATTAACTTGATTCTTTCATAAATCTAAGTGATTTTTTTATCTCATTTTTCAAATCAAGTTTGATTAATGATAAATTCAAAGACAAGATTGTGTACATTGCCTTTGGAAACAAAATGCCAAATATTAATTGAACATGATGGTATGGTTCACATCAACCTTACTTTCTTTTTCACCCTTGCATTTATCTATTGCATCAACCATTATAAAAATATATATATAATAACTACAGCTGAGTCGTTCATGATTGGGTAACGCAGAGAAAAGAGAGGGGTCATCAAACTCTCACCATTTTTTTCTTTGGTTTGTTGCTTCATTTTTTGGGATAACAGGTACAATATAATAAGAGCAAAAAGAACATACATCATCCTTTTAATAAAATTTTAATTTTTTTGCATCGGCATATGCATTGTACTAATAAAATCACTATCACCCACTCTAGAATTGCAGTATTTGGAAATTAGATGATCCAATTTATTGATTTGATTAGCTTGCTCTCTAAGGCCTTGTTTGGTACGCATGAATGGGGTGGAATGGAATGGTCATTCTCACTTCTCATTCATTCTTACCAAACACATCTTTTTTTTTTTAACTTAGAATGTCCATTCACACTTTTCATCAATTCTCATTTATGTGGGAATGAACATTCCCAATGAAATAATAGGAAATGAGCATTCCCACTTAAATGTGAATCAATAATATATATAATTTTAAAATACGTTCATTCCCATTTTATTTTATAAATTACTCCCAAACGTGAGAATGAGAATAATTATTTTATTTTCACATTAATTTTATTCCATTTCATTAATTTTTTTATTTTATTCTTATTTGAGTACATTTCCACGTACTAAACTAGACGTAGATAGGAAAATGATAAGTAGACATTTTTACAGCTATTTCAGATTCACCGCCAGCGTGTCTATTTCCATGAGTTGTCACATTCTCTCTCTATGTATATATAAAGTTGGAATGAAACCCAGGACTCAAGTTTCTCCCTCACGTTCTTCCTCTGATCTCCACCGTCGGATCTCGGATCAGCGAAGATGAACGACGCAGATGTATCGAAGCAGATCGAGCAGATGGTCCGCTTCATTCGGCAGGAGGCCGAGGAGAAAGCCAACGAGATCTCCGTCGCCGCCGACGAGGTTTGATCCCCAAACCCTAGTAGATCTCGACAAATTTTTTCCCCCGATCAAATCTAGGTAGCCTCAGATCCTCGTACGATGAATTTTAGCGATCATAGGGGAAAAAGAGGTAATTTTGATGAAAAATCTCGCCAAATATTGCTTGGATGTGGATCAGTTAACTCTCAGCGTGAGATCTTAATAGAACACCGCTTGAATCTTGAGTTGTCAAGTGCAGTTGCTACGGATCAGTGAAATTTTATTCGGTGGTAAAATCAGCCGGCTGTGATTATCTGAAATTTACTGTTTCTAGTGGTTTAGAACAGGGAATTATTTGAACTTGCTCAGTAGACTTTAGGCGAGTTCACACGGGAAAGCCTTGATATTGTACTTGAATTATCTTGTAGGAATTCAACATCGAGAAGCTGCAACTTGTTGAAGCTGAAAAAAAGAAGATCAAGCAAGAATATGAGCGAAAAGAGAAGCAGGTTGAAATCCGGAGGAAGATGTAAGCCGCTAAACATTTTCTAGTTTTTTTTTTCCTCGCGATTTTGATTGCTTGGTTATTGTATTGTTTTGTACTTCTTTTTAGATTATCAACGCTTCTTGTTTCGGGGAACAATTTTTCACTTCAGCCCCATTACATTTTTTTATTATTGAAATCGACCCTTTTTTTTTATTTACCAAAACCGACCCGATTAGGTGATTAGCAGCCAACCCCGACTATTTAGGAGGGTGTTAAACTCTAATTAGAAGCCTTAAACCCTAAAAATTAATGTCCTAAATAGTCGGGTTTGGTAACCCGACTAATTAGGAAGGTGATTAAGCTGCTAATCACGAAATCGGGTCGGTTTTGGTAAATAAAAAAAAGGGGTCGATTTCAATAATAAAAAATTGGAATGGGGCTGAAGTGAAAAATTGTTCTCTTTCGGGTTACCATTATAGTTTACAGCATCATATTACTCATGTTGGCACGAATATGTTCTTCATTGTTATCATGAAAGCAAAGCAGCTTCTTGTTACCATCTAGTTTCTCTACAGTTTACATTATAGTTGTTTTAAACATAAGTTAAATAAAAAAAAATCTTCAAACAAGAATATGATTGAAATGACATGGAAGAGAGAACTAAAAAAAAAACTAATAATGGCAAAGTGAAGCTCTTCCCATCCGGAAGACAAGCAAGAAGTTGAGCAGTCACAATGTCTCCAATATTTTGTTATGACGATTATGATTTTGTTGGTACAACGCAAGTGACTCCTGCAAAAATTGGCTGTTAGCTTTAGACTTTCTCTGATTGCTACTGCACACTTGCTGTGTGATTTTTCTTCTCTCAGTTTTATGATGCCTTTCTGCAGTGAGTACTCCATGCAACTGAATGCTTCTCGAATCAAAGTTCTCCAGGCTCAGGATGATCTAGTGAACTCCATGAAGGAGGCAGCTGCAAAGGAACTCCTGCATGTCAGCCATCATCACCATACATACAAACATCTTCTGAAAGAACTGATTGTTCAGGTTATTATTCTGTACTTGTCGCGGATGAAAATGTATCTTATGCTTATAAGAAGTTGCAATAATTTTCTTCGTTTTATAGAAAATTTATGAATTACTAATTGACTGAATGTAGAAGATAGAAAATATGAATCTATGCTTTAGTTCTTATAGAAATATGAATAAGAACTTCTAGAAATTTATGTTGTATGAGAATTTCTTTGCTTTCTGATCATTATTAGGAGAAGGAAGCTTGGTTAATATTTCTATCCAAGTGAGGTCGCACTTCTTCACTTATTCTGCATTAATATGTAATTTTTTTATCGCGTCAAGATAGCTCTTTTGATGTAACTATAATACTATATGACCTTATATTTCCAGAGCTTGTTGAGACTGAAAGAGCCTGAAGTGTTATTGCGTTGTCGGGAAAATGATCTCAAACTGGTTAACTCAGTGCTTCATTCAGCAAAGCACGAATATGCAGAAAAAGCAAACGTGTACCCTCCTGAGATTGTGGTGGATAATTATGTATTTCTTCCAGCTGCTCCTAACCATCAGCACTCTCATGGGCCTTTCTGGTAACACCTTCCCTCTAATTGATAATATCCTGACGTACCAAATTTTGAGTGTTCATATCACAACAAGTTTTGCCCTCAATTTTATGTTTGTCTTTTTGAGAATTTTCTTTTTTGTTTTTGCTAGTACCACACTGTTCAAAACTCAGTTCATGTCCCAGCCTAGACCGAACACCTCGACAGTTTGGTGGAAGTTTTGGTGCTCAACTGACACTACAAACTTAGTTTCAGCAAATTAGTTAGCTATGTATCAGAAAACACAAGTTAATAGAGAAAGGGCTAACCTATCTAGGAGATTCTCTCTCTTTCAAACTTTTTTAATCATTGGATCTATATGGTCAGTTAGCTAGAATTAGATGGGGGCATGACAATTGACATCATTGGGCAAAAGTGAACATGATAGTACTTTTTGTAAGAATTCACTATTATAAGCTATAGTTAAGATGTTTGGCCCATTTGGTAAATTACACAAACAATGATTTGATGGTCATGTCTTCTAGCTAGTATCATTCAACTCATTGAAACTTCCATGATCAAGCTACGGATTATATTGAATACCATTTGTTTCATTCATATAAAGATTTCTTTCAGTAACATTCTTTTTCCTGTCATTTTATGGCTAATCAAACCATTCTTTCTTGCTGACTTCTGAACTGGGTAATTCAGCTCTGGAGGTATTGTTATGGCTTCACGAGACGGGAAGATCGTTTGTGAAAACACACTTGATGCAAGGTTGGATGTCGTCTTTCGGAAGAAGCTACCAGAGGTGACTATTTTTTCTTCATGTGGTTGTTTACTGTTCCTTGTGGTCTACGAAAACTCTAATTCTTCCAGGAATAATCAAGGTCCATCCTCCAAAAATTTAAATTATTTCCTACTTTATTAGTCAATCTGTCAATGACCTCTTGCTAATTGCTTACCGTGTATTGATAATGTACCAGAAAATATAATATTTATCCTGCTAATTGCTTACCATGTATTGATAATGTACCAGAAAATATAATATTTATCCTACCTAGTGTATTGATATGAATGATTGCCAAGAAATAGAAAAACAAAAATCCTCTTCTAAAGAAGTTAAGAAAAATATTCCTTTCAAGATTTACATTTGTGAAAATGTTGTCAAGAAATAAAACATTGTAACTTCCCTTTTTGAAAATCTTCTACACACACTTGATGTAACTAGACCTTTGAATCCTTGCTTTTCATGATCTATAACCAGCAATTATTGTCCATTTTCAGTCATGTCGACCCGATGGCAATAAATTGTTGTACTTCATAGTTTACATTTTTCGTGGGTTACCTACGATTTTTGTCAATTTTCAGTCGTTTAGCCAAATGACAATTTGGTTTCCTCAAAACTCATGCCTCATGGCCGTGGGTTATAACCTTACAATTTTTTCCATTTTCATCTTTTACCACCTAATGAGGAATAATTGGCGTATACTTAAAATTTTCAATTTTTATGGGCTTTAGCCCATGATTTTTGTCTATTTTTAATCGTTTGGCCCAATGATAATTAATTGCCCTACTTCAAAATTAGCATTTTCCATAGACTACTCATGATTTTCGTCAATTTTCAGTCATTTAAGCCCAACGAGAAAGAGATTTTCTTTCCTTAAATTTCATGATTTTCATAGATTATAACCCATAATTTTGTCTATTTTCATTTGTTTCCACCAAATGACAAATAATTGACGTTTCAAATTTCTCAATTTTCATGGCTTATAACCAGTGGGTTCTGTTCATTTTATGTCATTTTGAGCCAATAAGAATTCAAGTTTTCTTCAAAATTCACGATATTCAATGGCTATAACCCACAATTAGCCCAGTTTCGTACGTTACCACCGAATACCCAATATTTGGCGCATTTAAAACTTCTCAGTTTTTATGTCCATTTTAGTTGTTTCGATCTAATGATAGTTAACTTTTTTACTAATTGAAATCCACAACTTTTATGGACTGCAACCCACAATTTTGTCCATTTTCATATGTTTCCTCATAATGACAAATATTTGTTGTACTACAAAATTCTCAATTTTAATGGGCTATAACTCATTCTTTATATCCATTTTAAGTAGTTTTGACCTGATAGCAATAATTGCTCTACTTAGAAGTAACAATTTTCTTGCCTTACTACCCATAATTTTTATCAAATTTCAGTCATTTTGGCCCAATTGCAAATAGTTTTATTTCCTCCAAATTCTCGATTTTAATGGTCTTTAATAAAAATTTCTGTCCAGTTCTATATGTTTCTACCTTGGCATTGAGATGTAAACCAAGATTTATGCCTTTTTCAGTCATTTCGACCCTATGGCAATAACTTATCGTACTTTAAACTTTACAATTTTCATGGGGCTATAATTTTTACTCAGTGAGTCTTTTCAGCTTGATGATAATTTTGATTTCTTTCCTAAAAACTCACGATTGTCAATATAATTTGCTAATTTTTCCATTTTCATCAGTTATTATTCAATGACATATAATTGGTCCACTTCAAAATTCTCAATTTTTGTAGGCTATATAATCTACGATTTTTGTCTATTTTTAATCATTTTAACATAATAGGCAATAAATTCGCAACTATCATGGGCTATAAGCCTATCACTCGTGATTTTTATCAATTTTAAGTTGTTTTGGCCTAATGGCCATTATATATTCTTTCCTCAGAATTCATGATTTTCATGAGTTTTAACCCACAATTTTATCAATTTTCATATGTTTCCACCAATGACAAATAATTGGCGTACTTCAAAAATCTTAATTTTCATGGTCTATATAACCCATGATTTTTGTCCATTTTGGGTCGTTTCGAACCAATAAAAATTAAGTTTTCTTTCCTTAAAATTCACGATATTTAAGATCTATAATCCACAATTTGTCCATGTTCGTCTGTTTCAACTGAATGACAAATAAGTTCTTATTTTAAAATTCTCAACTTATATGAGCTATAACACGATTTTTGGTCATTTTCAGTCGTTTCGACCAAATGGTAATTAGGTTTTCTTTCCTTAAAATTAATGATGTTCATAAGCTATATAATCCACAATTTTGTCTACTTTTATATAATTCCACCCAATAACAAATAATTGACATGCTTTGAAATTATCAAATTTCACAACTTATAGCCCATGATTTTTGTCCATTTTCAGACGTTTTGAGCCGATGAGAAATTTTTTTTCTTTCCTCAAAGTTCAGGATATTCAAGGACTATAACCCACAATTAGTCTATTTTCATATGTTTCCTCCCAATGGTAAACAATTGACATACTTAAATATTTCTCAACTTTTATGAACTATAACTCATAATTTTGGTCCATTTTTAATTGTTTCCACCAATTAACAATTAAGTTTTCTTTCTTCAATTCACAATTTTATGAGCTATTCATTGGTGTACTTCTATGTTGCTTCGGTACAAGTGCGGACGCAAACATGGGTGGGGATTCAGGACATGATAAATTTGAAAAAGATAGGATACGAGGACATGACTATATATACATATTGAAATTAATAATTTATATGATTTTTGTATTGTTTTTTCATACACATGTCATGAAACTAAAATCCCTATAGCCTTTTTATTTTTATTTGAATAAATTATAAATCGAAAAACCTCTCGTTTTTTTAACTAGGTACCTAAACGGCCTTTTGAAAGTCAATACTCATAAATAGGTATGGGCTGGGTTGAAACAAGCCCGATCTGAGTCCAATGAGTTGTAGAAATTTGAGATGAAGTGAGATATACATCCAAGAAGTGTACCGCAAATGTTTTAAGCTGATCATGTGTTATATATTTGAGTACACGTATGACTAAATATGTGTTTAAGTGTCCAAGCAGTGTCAAACACGGATATAGGAGCCTAGATGTATGACTAAATGTGTTTTAGTGTCCAAACAGTGTCAAACACGGATACAAGAGCCTAGATGAAGTGTTCGGTAACCTAGGCAAAGTACTTTAAAATCATCAATTTTTATTGGCTATAACCCATAATATTTATCCATTTTTAGTCATTTCGCCCAAATGACAACAAATTTCCATATTTTAAAATTCATAATTTTTATAAGTTATGAACCATGATTTTTGTTTGTTTTCCATCATTTCGACCCAATTGCAATTAGGAATTATTTCTCAAGGTTCATGATTTTCATGGGGTAACCCACAATTTTGTCTGTTTCTACCTATGTCAATTAATTGGCGTACTTCAAAATTCTCAATTTTTATGGGCACCCACGATTTTTGTCCATTTTTAATCCTTTAATCCAATGACAATAAATTGCTCTACTTCAAAATTTACAATTTTCATTTCTTTTCATCCATTGAAAAATAATTTCAATTTTAAAATTCTCAATTTTTTTGGACTACACCCATGATTTTTTTTCATTTTCAGTCATTTAAATGACTCAATGGCAATTAAGTTTTTTCCTTCAAATTAATAATTTTCATAGCCAATAATCCACAATTTTGTTCATTTTCATTTGATTCTACCCAATGACAAACAATTGGTATACTTCAACAATCTCAAATTTTATAGCCTATAGCCCATGATTTTTTTTTCCATTTTGAGTCATTTAGAGCCAATGACAAATTTGTTTTCTTTCCTCAAAGTTCACAATATTCAAGGGCTGTAACCTATACTTAGTTCTTTTTTGTATGTTTCTACCAAATGGCAAATAATTGATGTACTTTAGAATTTTCAGTCGTTTCTAAGCAATAACAATTTAGTTCTTTTCCCCTCAAAATTCTCAAATTTCATGGGATATTTTACTTTAAAACTGTACATTTTGATGTGTGTTGTAACCCATGACTTTTGCTCATTTTTAGTTGTTTCGACATACTGAACAAATTGTCATACTTCAATATCCGCAATTTTCTTGGGCTATAACCCTATGGTTTTGTCTGTTTTCTATCATTTCAACCCAATTGCAATTAATTTTTATTTCCTCAAAATTCATGATTTTCATGGCTATGTAGCATATAATTTTATCCATTTTCGTCTTGTTTCAAATCAATGACAATTAATTCGCATACTTCAAATTCTCAGTTTTCATGGGCTGTAACCTATGATTTTTGCCCAAGTTTAGTCGTTTATGGCAATAAATTGTTGTAATTCAATATTTATAATTTCATGGTCTATAACCCTTGATTTTTGTTAATTTTCAACCGTTTCGGCTCGATTACAATTTGGTTTTGTTTCCTCAATACTCACGGTACCCATGCGCATAACCTACAAGTTTGTCCATTTCATTTGTTGCCACCCAATGGTAAATAATTGGCGTACATCAAAAAATTTCCATTTTTTATGAGCTAACTCACAATTTTTGTTCATTTTTAATTATTTTGACCAAATGTCAATAAGTTGCTCTACTTCAAAACTCGCAACTTTCATAGGGTTATAACTCTTGATTTTTGTCCATTTTCGTCCGTTTCCACCCAATGACAAGTAATCGACATTTCAAAATTCTTAATTTTCACGGCATGTAACCACATCTTTCGTCCATCATTTCGAGCCAATAAGAATTAAGTTTTCTTTGCTTAGTATTCACTATTAAAACACGGGTGATATCTATGGCTGTATAAATTCATATCCAAATGTCATTTAATTTCCCATATAAACATACATGCATCGTCATTAAACTTCTCTCTCAAACATACTTCTTCTTCTCTTATTGCGCAGATCAGGAAAGTGCTTTTTGGTCAGGTAGCCGCCTGATCCATTTGAGCGAGCCCTCAGTGCCGCAACCTGAGTTATTTCAAGATCATTATGATCCCAGTATAATTTCCTTGTCCATTGTTATGTACTTTCAGCGCCATGGGTTTGCTTAAAATTCCTTATTTGTTCATTGGCTCTCTGCGAGCTCATGTACTATCCCAATAAAATTAGATCCGTCTCTCGTTGCGCATCGATCATCATAAGCTATTTGTAGACCACTGCACTACGAATATTTTGGGGGAACTGTTATACGTATGAGAGCAGAGGCAAGTTGGTTTTCATGCTACTTCGCTGTAATTGAAAAAATGTGGGTTTTCATATTATCCTTCAGTGAATGAAAATAATTGCAGGTTACAAACGTTTGGATGGATATATATATATCAAAACAATTAATTACGTCTGAAGAGGCGAAGAAGACGCATCGTTACTGACTTTTGCCGGTGGGGATTCTCTCTAACGCACGTGCTATATTCTCGCAGAGAATGAATGATAATCCAGAATGATACTTGACAACTTCTAACCGTCTCAATTTAACGCCAATCCGAAATAAATTTTAGCAAGCACAAACTAAAATAATTGTAGATAGACCGGCCCGCAAAAAAGTTACAACAGCTTCACGCATTGCCACCATTAATAACTGCTCAAAAGTATAAATTATTTATGAGGGACTAATATCCAAACAAAGATTTATGAGGAACTATTATCTAAATTAAGACTCAAACATTCGGAAGGACAAGTAAATCTGCTTGGAAAAAGGAGTACAAAAGTATTCATTAAATGATTGTTAAGTGTCCACTAAGATCGAAGCAGAACTGACCCGCGTAGGCAAAACATACACATTGAACTCTGGAGGGCCCAAGGAGGCTACTCCTCTAACCTTTAAAAAAAAGGGTTCGAGGCTTACTGTTCATTCTACAGTAAAAATAATGTAGCGTATAAACATCAATTCTTTATGCCCGAGTAACGGTAAAAATACTGTAGCATAGACATCAATTTTTTATGCCCGAGTAAAGTTATTGTTAGTGCTAAAGTATTTTACTGTACATGAATCTTTATAAGCTTATAATACAGTTATCATCCGACGTGACTGTACAAAATTAGGAGCAAGTTAGAAGCACAAGTAAAATATTGTAGCACATGTAAAATATCGTAGCACATGTTCGAAAGACAAGTTAGAAGCTTATAATACAGTAGATCGATCTTGCTATAATAGGGAGAGGGATCCCCTCCCTATCGTCCCATAATCCACCTCGTCTTAAAACAAAAACACACGGCACATTTTACATTTTCACAACAAGCTGAGGAGCTGAGCTGACCAGCCCCACGGAAAAGGCACATCTTCACCGAAAACACGTGTAGTCACAAAAGAGTTGACCGTCTATACCCGCTGCTGTTGCTGCGGCGGCTGCTTAAGGGTCAACTCAGCTCTCAAATGCAAAACGCCATCGATGAAGTAAGGACTATCTTCAGCGATGAACGAAGTCCAGGGAATCGCAAACAAATTCCTATACCCTACAGCCTTCCCTCCTGTAAAAGTATAGCACCCCTTGTACTTGCTCACAAAATCCCCGGCCGGTTTAGTCCTCGCAGCAAACTCATAGTCAACCGTGAATAACACCGAACCCGTTTCTTGCATCCCCAGAAAAAGCCCCAAACAATGAAATGAGCTTTGCTGGTCCAAATTACAATGGGCCGAGAGGAAAAAACCTTGACCGCCTAAATGAAATGCTTGGGAGTAAATTCGGCCTCCGGGGGAAAGATTCGAAAACTCTTCTCGCTTTAAATCGAGATACACGATGCACTGAGGATGAGGCTGCTCGAATTCTACGACTTTTACTGGTCGGTATTTGTAGGCTCGTTCTGTGCATCTACGGGTAGATACTGAGTCTTCTAGGGTTAGGGTAGATACTGACTCTTCTAGGGTTAGACAATGAGGTGTTTCTTCTATGAAGAATAGTGCTTCGAGGGCGAGGTCTGCTTTGGAGGATATTTTGTCGCCTAGGTTGGTGCATGTCAGGACTTTCTTTAGTTTTCGGCAGGTCATGTGTTGGAACCGAATGAGTCGACCGAGGTGGGACCTGAGGATTTTTCTTCTCTCCTCTGCCTTCGGGTAATGAGCACGGGCCCACTTGAGTACGAAGTCGTAGACTGCATCTTCTGATGCTACCTGGAGGTTGTCGCTGCTGAGAATTGCTTCGATGCCAACAAGGGGGAGATTCATTACTTCCTCTTGGAACCTGACGGCAGTTAAAGAAATTGTATTGAGGATATTTCTGTTTACAGGGTGGCATACTAACATAAAAGGGTAAATTTCACAAAGCTCCCCTGACCTTCGAGGGGTTCGTCACGAAACCCCCTAAATTTTACAAGTCATAGGAATACAATGTCCAACAGCAGTTGCTTTAAGTTGACGCTCAACAGTTGCTTTAAGTTGCAAGGAAGCATGCAACCACTTCCAAATAAATTATCCCTATCTACTGAAAATAAGTTCTGTATTCATTTTGGGCAACGGTAGGTAAAAGGGTTGTCTAGACTTTTTCCTCTTGCTGTTTATGAAAATCTTCAATAGCTTAGGGGATTTAGTATATAATTTAGACAGTCAGGGTTTTTATGAAGTCCAAGGGGTTTTCTGAAAATCCCAAAAATTCACGAGGAATTCATGGAATTCACCTTAATATAAAACTCGAGTAAAAACTCACTTAGATAGGTTTCGGTATTTATTGGCAAGGAATTCTCTGGCTGCACTGGTCAATGGCTGTACAGCTGAGGCCATTGAGACACTGGAAGGGAGCTCCAAGTAGAGAAGCGCAGATTCTGTAGTCATGGATAGACTCCTTAATAACTGACTGCAGTGTCTCACACAAGATGCAACCTCAAACTTGTCAGCAGCCGTCAGCACATCCAGCAAGAGGTGAGGTGAGGTGGTTGACAAGTTCCCACTGTTCATAAAATTCAAAAGTTCCATGAGAGCAGCTTCCTCTGTAATATGAAAAGAAAGTAAACAAAGTCAACTTTTCTAAAGAGCATGCTTTAAAACAAATAAGTTCTTTTTGCAGGTTATGCTTACCAGTCAGACTCAGTACTGAACGTTGCAAAAATAGAAAGAAAAGATGAAAGGCCTTTCTCAATTTATTATTTAAGCATACTAGCAAATTGACACATGCATGCACATGAGAAAATATTAAATTTTTATCCAAATATTTTTCTATTATACATACTAATAGTTCGAAAAATGATTTAATTTACGCAATGTTATCATAGAGTTCGATGTAGAAAATCTATCCAAAACTGTTATTTAGTAATTAAATCAGCAAAAAGTGTTAGCCTAATTTTGCTGAAGAGTTTCCTTATAGAGAATAATATAACTGGAGCAAGTGATTAAAGTAAAAAAAGAGAAATGGGGAATATTACAGTTTAACTATGTGAGTTAAATCCTATTCTCCATGTCATGATTTAGAATGTTCTAGAAATAAGAGAGGGTAAAATAATAATAAAGGGGAAAAAACCTCTCTTGCAAAATTGCAATTATAAATGTTAGTTCAAATCATATTCTCATGTCATGATTTTAGGATGTTCTAAAAATAAGAAATAAAATAAAAGAAAGATAATAAAAACCTTGATTTTACCCTCATAATTACAATAGGAAGGAGACGCCCTCCATTCATCTAACTTCCCCATTGAGCATATTATATATTAGTATGGACAAAGGATTGCTGACAAAAAAGCCTTAAAACTTTTAAAAGCAAATTAAAATCGTGAGTTTAACTCATAATTCAACATGAAGTTTCCAGTTTCTTCCTCATTTTCTAGATCATTGTACAGATTTTCCTATCTCAACTATAATCTTGTATATTAATATAATTATATACACAAATGACAAGATACATAAGTTCTAATTTTGATAACAAAAGTCCCCTTAGTTGTCGTACTTTCATGTAGTAAATAAGTAAGTTGCTTCTAGTTGTGTTTACTTTGTTGAAAGATGACTTGCTGCAGAATTGAACCGATGAGCCATGACAGTAGATAAAGCAAGAAAAGAAAAAAAAAGAAACTTGCTTTCAAGATTTTCTTTTTTCATAGATCAACAGAAGAAGCATATCCAGTTAGCATAGAACTACAACAAGTCACATATATATACCCAGCTAGCATAGAACTACGAGTCCGTTTCATATCAACATTTATGGCAGTCACTTCACTACTTCCACACATGAACCTTGGACTGGTAAATTGAGACAAACAGTCCCTCATGTTTAAATTACCTGAAGCAGTGATTCTTAATGTGGCATGCTGTTGGTCAGACTCCCCCATGCCTTCTGAGACAAGCTAAACAAAACCAACAAAACAATGTTTCGACAGTAGCCAGGATGTGAATTAGGAATTACAATATCAGATTCAGATTTTATGTCTTGCCTTATATAAAAAAGGGCTTTTTGCGGCTAATATTGCTGAACCAACGTACATTGGCTTTACTCTTAATGGAGAGCAAACCATAACCGAAGAAGAATCGCTTTGTAAAGGCTCATCACCTGCAAAGCAAAGAGAAACAACCAAAAATGAGAAAATTATGAGAAGAAAAAGAAATTCCAAGTATAATTGCAACTCATCATCATGTCGTAAGGAACAACATATGCCATGCAGGCAATGTTGAGCAATGATTTGGGACAATTAGCGGGAAAGAAACATTGAATTATGTTTTTTGGGAAATTTTTAAAATAAAATATAATAGGAAATACAAAATTACATAAAAAAGAATGCAAACCTAAGGTGGTCAACCCAAAAAAAAGAAAAAAAATATGTACCCAACTCACAATTTGTCAGTGTGAACAAAAGTGACTTGGGTACAAGTGTCATGTTACAACAATGATACGAGGTGTCTGAAACAATCACCTCATAAGGTGTTTGACAGGCAGGCAAGGATACACGTAATTATTCGCAAAAAAAATTCAAAGCATATATTTGTCTACAATTGAGCCTATTTTCGCATATTAATGGATCTTAAAGCTAGAAAAAGTGCAAGGACGTTTAACTCATTCACTTTTACAAAAATAATATACATAATACATAATGTTTAATAATAACCTTTTAAGAACAAAAATGGATTGGTTTGACATAACAATAGGAGGCATGTATAGTTTATTGTATGCATAAAATAAAAATGACAACAACTTGCGCATATTCTTAGGAGAAAAAGATACCAAGTACATTCATAGTAAACATCTGCAAAGATAAAACATGTCATGTTGATGTTGAACAAGAATAGAAGTTAATATCTAAAGAGAAAGTCCTGAAGAAAGTTCGGTTGGAAGATGGATGCTTTATAATTTGATCTTTCATGGTTCGACTAGTGTTTGGAATTAAGTAGACTACCACAGGCCGAAATATTATTAAAACCTCAATAAGGCAAGAAATTTGAAATCCCAACTATGTTATAAATCTAAAACATATGAATTTTGGAGAAAACAATAAGTTCTATCAACTACACATCCACACCTGCTGGAGATTCAATCTTTGCAACAGCTTCCCCATCATGGCTTTCATATGCTACAGCATCATTAGCATCAGGCTGGTCACAGTTTACTATGTTGTCTGCATTGTAGACATCAAATTCAGCAGCTAAATAAAGCATCATATAACCTTAATACACACACCCACACCCACCCACCCATATATATATATATATATGAAAAATTCTTCAAGGACCCAAAATATGGGACCAATAGAGGGGACAAGTGAGGTGTCCCCCTCCTATTGGATAATGAGTTGGCTATCATTAATGATGGCCAACTCATTATCCAATAGGAGGGGAACACCTCACTTGTCCCCCCTATTGGTCCCATATTTTGGGTATTTTCTTTTACAGGATTGATGATGAACAGACACCAGAGGATGCGGAAGATGGTCCACCAGAACTTCTGTTCATACATGGTGGCCACACTAGCAAGATCTCCGATTTCTCTTGGAACCCTTGCGAGGATTGGGTCATCGCCAGCGTCGCTGAAGACAATATCCTTCAGATATGGCAGATGGCTGAGAATATCTACCATGATGATGATGACGTGTTACCAGCAGAAGAACCTCCAAGAGCGACATAATTTTGTCTGCTTTAAATTATATGTAGTTTGTTTATGCCGTCGTAGACGATTGCTGAAGTAATGTGCAGTATCTAGGGTGCGTTTTGTTTCTCTTTTGTTTGTCTATTAGCTTTACCTGTTAACAGAATTGTGGCTTTACAATTTTATTTTATGCAAGTTACTTTCATTGATCTTTGGTGATTCTCTAATGGTGCATAGTTTGAGTGCTTAAAAATAAAAACAAGCAGAGTTTGAGATGGGAGGAGGATAAGGTTGTTCAGTGGGAAATGGCCTTTTGGGTTTATGCTTGGTTACTCTTCTTTGTATCTGTTTTGGGAGAAAATCTTATGTAAACTTAAGTGGATAAGAGCTAGTCATCCGCTAACTTTTTTATTCATTGATGTTGCCTTGGGATCAGTGAAAGACACATGAAGAGTCTTGTGCATCTTTTGATGACACAAATCCAAAAACAATATGAGTGAATAAAAAGTTTGGTGGACAATGCTTCCTATCCACTTAAGTTGACATAAGCTCATTTCTCTCTCTCTCTCTCTCTCTCTATATATATATATATATATATATATATATATATATATACCCTTTAAAAGAGAGAGTACTAGGAAAACTTTTTTCCCCATAAAGCCCTCTAAATTACAAGTGTAATCAGAAAATTGCCTCCTTAACATTCTCATTCAATTGCTTAATAAGAAATTCAATGACATAATAGTAATTTAAAGACTACTTGGGCAAATTAATTATAACTTTTCTTTTTTTGCAGGACTTGCATCTACTGCATTTGTACGTTTCATTTGATTTATCTTAGCAATTAATCTATTCTTCATTAGTAATGTTGTCATATCTATTCTAATCAACCTATTTCTACTCATAGAAACTTTTAATAAATGATTATGCTAATCAATGCTTATCACTAAGTACGTGAGTTTTTCCCCTTCACTACAGTTACAAAGTTATAATATCATGTTAAACCAATAAATGATTATGCTAATCAATGCTTATCACTAAGTACGTGAGTTTTTCCCCTTCACTACAGTTACAAAAAGAAAATACAACTCAAAAGGTTACGTGACACTTATAAATTAGCTCATGATGAGCTCAAATGATCAAATCCAACATATCCTACATCATCATGTAGAAACTAAAATCTAGACTGGAGAAAGAAAGATGAAGAGAAGGAAGAGAACCACCAAAGGTTAGTTTAAAAAACATCCATTAAATTACATATTTTATCATGTTTTTATATAGCATGCTATCGTCCCACAAATATATATACTTGCTTCTTAGAACTATTAATGCTTGAGTAGTGATTAAGTCCTCAAACTGATATGATCTTAGTTATCTTTCAAGAACTTAGGAACTTTGGTAAATTCTTTCAAAATAATCTCTCAATAGAAATAGTTATTTTTTGGTAAGATTTTGCTCTTGCACTGTCATTACCTGTGTGACTACGTTATTCATTTATTAAATAATAGGTAATTTAGATAATTTTAATCTGTGAATTAATAACAACAATGCAAGAACATACTTGTGCATTACCCTTTTTTATATTTATTTACCCAATGCATAGTGCCTAGCATCTACATGTGTGGAAAACGTGCATCATTTACTTTGAAAAATCTACAAACTTACATAAAAGAAGCAATGATTTGTAAGTAGAGTATTCTAGATATTCTGTTTTATTCTATTTCTTTCCATGTGTAGTTATTTCTAGGCATCTAAATTTTGAATCTCTGACAAATGTTCACAAGGCAATAGAGACAAATGACTTTAGTGAAAAACTATTGGAGAGTTAATTCACTAAAAACCCCGAGTTTCAGAATCAAACATACTAGCTAATTATAATTATAACTATAATTATATTTAACTAATGGACACATTATAAGCCTCCTATGTTGCCAAGGAGGTGATCAACCATAGATCAATCAAGCGAATAATCAATAACATTTTAAGACTAAGTTCTATTTCCATGTTGGTACTGTAGACCTGTAAGCTATTTGTTAGTTATTTATTAATTTATTTGCCAAGTAGGTTTTCCCTAAAGTTAGTTTCCTCCATAGTAATTATATTATAATCTAATGATTATTTGGATAAATTATTTGAGTGAAGTTGTGTATAAAATTGCTTAAATAATAGATTTTTCGGTTATTTTGCACCGAGTATAATTGAATTATATCATAAAACTGTAGTGTCATCACTATAATACATTATTATTAGCATTCCAACATCTATTAGCTATGAAAATATTCAAACTTATTCTATGATCAATCACATATGGTGCTATTTGTTTCTATACTGACAGTTGGATTTTGACTTGAGTTTATTTAGTTTTAACTAATTACAAGTAGATTATCTGTGTTGTAGCTTTTAGGGTGCTAATCATAAGCATTAGAATAAGAGTAGCACCAAAATGTGGCAAACTCAAATTAGAGGCAGATTCTCTCTACTATAATTTTAGGGGCACTAATCATAAACATGAGAATAAGAAAAATAACATCTGACAAATTTCACTTGGAAGTTTTAAGACATGTTAAAATTAACTCGGGATATTCTCATATTGCATGACCTCTCTTTTGCTTATCCTTTTGAAGGTTAATATGGTGAACGTTCAAAGCTCTAACGATTTCATTATTATCATTATTCCAGACTATTCTTCCTAGCAGTATGCATCTCTTGAGGACTATCGTTGTTGTTCGATATTGATAGCACACGCGGAAGAGCTTAGCAGGAACCGTCACCTGCACCTTTAATCATAAGCACAATGTCCCATCTAGGAGTTACCACTTACCATGCATATTTGCTCCGCGGTCAAAGAGCTGGACATAGGCTTACCCCAAAATTTTAGGGAATTTTCTTATATTTTGGAAATTTACTGGGGTTTATCTGATAATCGTCCAAACTAAATGGATGTTTTCAGAAATTAGGCCTAAATTGTACAATAAGTGCATGGTGTGATACATAACTAGAAGTTGAAAAGAGCATTAAATGCACAACTATAAGAGAGCAACTGTGAGAGTACAAGTGCAAAAGTTACTGGGGTCTTCTGATATCGTGAAAGCTATGAGGGTTATATGATAATTGTCCAAAGTTAAGAAGGGGTTTCTAAAATTTACCCTATGATTTACTAGGTCAATAATGGGAGTTGAAAAAAACATTAAATGGAAATGTTTAGTTCTCTTCATCTTCTATTTCTTATAAATGACATGTCAGCTATGAAGCACGGATACTCCCCCCATGACCACGAATCCGTGTCTGACACGAATCGGACACGGATTCGTGCACGACACGTGCAAGACACGTGTCGGACACGGTCAAACCGTGTCCGACACGGGTCAACGGGTCAAAAGGGGGGGATACGGTCAACTGGGATAGGGGACACGGCTGAGATACGAAATTTATAAAAAAAAATAACAAAACCCGTAACCGAAACCCAAACCCGTAACCAAAACCCCAAACCCGTAACCAAAAGCCCTAATTTTCACTTCTCACCTCACTCGAGACGCCGCCTCTCCAGCGATCGCAAGTCTCTCGTCGTCGATCTCCTCCACCCGAAGGTCCTCGTCGTTGATCTCCTCCACCCGAAGCTTCTCCTCGTCGATCTCCTCCACCCAAAGCTCGCCGTCGTCGATTAAGTCCACCCGAAGCTCGTCGTCGTCGCTGCTAGGTTCGTCCCGAAGCTCGTCGTCGTCGCTGCTAGGTTCGTCCCGAAGCTCGTCGTCGTCGCTGCTAGGTTCGTCCCGAAGCTCGTCGTCGTCGCTGCTAGGTTCGTCCCGAAGCTCGTCGTCGTCGCTGCTAGGTTCGTCCCGAAGCTCGTCGTCGTCGCTGCTAGGTTCGTCCCGAAGCTCGTCGTCGTCGCTGCTAGGTTCGTCCCGAAGCTCGTCGTCGTCGCTGCTAGGTTCGTCCCGAAGCTCGTCGTCGTCGCTGCTAGGTTCGTCGTCGATCTCTGTCTTATCTTCGTCCCCCTCTCTCGCTGTCTCTCTCTGTCCAGCTTCCGTCCCTCTCTCTCTCTGTCTTATCTCCGTCCCCCCCTCTCTCTGTCTCTCTCTCTTTTAACTTTTTTTTTAAGACTTTTTTTTTTATTGCAGCTTTGTTCGACTGTTTGTGCTACTGTTGATTGGAGAGCAATTGAGCAAGTCACTGACCACTTCATTTGGTATTTTGTTTTTTTCAATTTCAATTTTAATTTTAATTTCAGTTTCAATTATAGTTTTAATTTCTTAACATATGAATATATTTTCCAATTTGTTAGTTAATAATTTGTTAGTCAATAATTATTTGTTAGTCAATAATTTGTTAGTCAATAATTATGTTAGTCAATTAATTATGTTAGTCAATAATTATTTGTGAACTATTTGTGCTACTATTGAGTGTTGATTGGTGAACTATTTGTTAGTCAATAACTATTTGTTAGTCAATAATTATGTTAGTCAATAAATTATTACACAAATGAATTATTTGTTAGGCAATAAATTATTACACAAATGAATTATTACACAAATG